TGATGGTGAGAGGAGTTGAGAATGTTGGCAATTGTAAAAGAGATCGCCAAGTATTTATGCCTGAGAGAATGTTGTTGGTTGGTAAGTGACAGAATTGTTCTGGTGCATTGGGAACTCCAGTTTATAATTCATATAAAGGAACTGTATCGATTTTCTCAGAGTGTCAAAGCAAAGGCCAAACTCATTGTTACAATGAGTAAAACATAAATTTCCTCAAAGTCCTGCAGAGAAAAGTCTAATCAAGATGCCAGCTGAGTTTCAACTTGAGGTCTCTCTTTGGCTTGTAGATAGCCATTTTCTGTTTCTTCACATGATCTTCCCTCTGTTTTTGTGTCATTACCTCCTTACGCAAGGACAAGTTTATATAGTCAATTATAGTAACTGGTGTAACCTCATTTTATCTCAATCACCTCTTTAAATGCCTTCTGAGAGATTGGGGGTTAAAACTAGTATCTGAGTGGGGAAGGAACACAGTTCAGTTCTTCACAGGGAGAGACAGAGAGGGAGGATTATTTAAATATTAACCTTTGGGAGTTTGCAGTAAAATTGAGTTATTGAAGAAGAATTTAAAAAGCAGATGGAGACACCCAACAAAATTTACGTACTTAAAGCTGTGAGACTCCATGATTTCTCTAAGGCAGAGTTTGGAAAACTAATAAACTTAAACTAAAAACTATTAATTTAGCAATTAACAGGAATTACTGGGCTGAGTATAATACAGTAACTAAAAATAAAAAGAGTCTTACTTTCAAAAAAATGTACAACACATAAGAATTACAAAAATACTTGTGCATGTATAAATGACATACACGAAAGTGACGCTAAGAGAGGGTAAGTAAATGTTAAGGTTGTTTTTAGAAGATAGAAATCACATGAAAAGGTAAAATGGAACAAGCAGAGAGTCTAGGACTGAGGTTGAAGAGAGTTTGTTTCTTTTGTTAATAGTGACTTCTGTAAGTACTTAAATTCTTTGGATCTGTGAGAACAAAAAGTTTTAACCTGGAACTTTGGGTTAAATCTTAAATCTTTGGGACTTTGGGAACAAAACATAAATCAATTAATATTGGCTTTGAGTAATGCCAGTAAATGTTGAATCAGACTCTGAGTTTTCACTGGTCAAGATCATGCAGAAACTCAAAACTCAGTTTTATTACTCTTTAAAATATAAGGAAAAATACTTGCCAATCATTCATCACTATATTAGTGAGGATGATAGACTTGCAAATAATGCTCTCAGCTTCTCTTGCAAACAGGCTAAAGGACAGTGTTTTATAAACCCCATCTGCACAGAAGGTCCTCCCTGCCCATCACACTGCTCAAGCCCAGACTTCCTACTCGTCTAACTAATGAGCTGTGACTGCAAGACCCCTGCTCAAGTACAGTTGTGCTCAGATTGTGTCTCAGTTGTGTTTCAAGTTGGGAATGTCCACTGACTCAGTGCTATGGGTCAGTTTTACAGTTTAGTTAGTGGTCACTCTAGAAATCTTAGTGGAAAATATAACAGAGATTAAGTACATGTTGACAAAGAAATAGAAAGTAAAATGCTACTATTAGGGAATGCTGGGTGAAAGACATAGGACACTTTCGCCGCCTAGAAATCTACTGTTGTGGGCTACTGCAGTGTCACCTCATCTTCCACAAGCAGATTTAGTTTAGGACTTGTAGACAGCAGAGACACTATTGGAGTGAGATAGCCATCCACTTGTAGCCTCAAAAACTCCCTTTCCCAATCTCTTGCTTGTTAAATAAGCCCTGTTATTGGACCCTGAGCCTGAGAGGTCTTGCAATGGTGCACAGGGTGAGAACCCACTGACAGTGACCTGTCCTTCACCCCAGCCACTGCCCCTTAGCTCTCTTTGGCACTATTGAGCATTACCTCAGCTTCTCCAGTAGTTCTCTGAGCAGTTTTCCTACAGCTTAAAAGCAAACTACCTCATCTGGAAATTGAGCAGGGCTAAAGCAGGGATTTCCTTTTCCTTCAGGTTTAGAGAATACAGTTTCCAGGAGTTTTAAAATGACCAATAAAGTAAGCAATAATATTTTCCAGTTCTAATGTGTAGTTTCCCCAATATAAAACCTCTACAAATTCAAGTACTTCTTAACACAGAATTAGAAACATGATTTTAAGCTATTCTGGAAAGCACTATGTCTTCATAGAGTTGAGTTTAGAGTTTCATGTGCTATAATTTCACCACTTTGGGTAAAAGCACAAGTACTCTAAACTGTCACAATCTAATATCTTTTTTTAAAGATTTATTTATTTATTCATACAGAGCTGTGGTACAAGTCAGAGGTGCAGGGTCAGTGAGAAGATTCACCAGAGACAGAGTGAGGAACAGAATAGGCAGATCAATGAAGTACACTGCTGAGGGGAGCAGTGAGCAGGTCAGGAGAGGTCTGCTGTGCCATGTGGGTCACCTCCAGGGCCAGGGATCGAACTCACAGTGAAGCAGCCGCAGCTAGTTTACAGTGCTGTGTCCTAACCTATTGCACCACCAGGAAGGGCCACAATCTAATATCTTTAAAAGGTGATTCAGACCATGCCCTTGTGCCTATCAGTCTGCCAGGTATCTGGCAAGTAGCAAGGACTGAAAATGAATACATACTTTTTTTTTTTTTAATTTGCTTCATTGAATCAATGTAATTATAAGTAGGGATTAGGGCAAATTATTCCAGAGTTCCAGAGCACTATAGACAGATGAGGTCTCCTATTCCATTTCTTGGTTCACAACAATGCTACCTACTCATCCCTATTGCTGAATACCCTTTCTTGACTGACCCTCCAACTCAATCATAGCTTGTCTTTTCCCTATATACTCCTCAAAATTCAGGAAACATGAAAAATTAAGAAATTGAGAACATAGTAATGTCCTGTCCATATTTACTGTCTTATGCATCTCTCAGAGTGTCACAGATATTTCTATGTTTTTGTCAACAAAGCCCTGGTAAAATAGCTAGAAATTAGACTACAAAATTTATTTATAAAGTATCTTTCAACATAATGTTTTTATTCAAAATAATAAAAAAGTGTCCAGGCAATGGAAAGAATTTCTAGTAGCTACCAGCTAGAGATAAGAAAGCACACACAGGGTGATAGGGGAAATTTTGGATTTGGGATTGTAGACACTTCCTAATGCTCAAGAGCACATAGTTCACCTTAAGCATTTGCCCCATGGGCAGAATCATTAATCTGTGCTAATGAATTTACTCTGATACAATCACTATAATGGTCCTTTGACATCAACTTTATTTCTAAGCAGAAGCAAATTCCCAACACTCCCAACCATGTTCTTCTGTGTGTGTTTTCCTACAACACACTGAACTGCAGATGTTGGAGTGCCAGGTTGGCTCCACCCAATGGACTGTGAGCTCCTCAAAGGCAAAGACTCATTCTTTATCCCCAGGGGCCTATAGCTCTGACATCCATAAATTATTTAATACACATCTGAAGAGTGAATAATTCTCTCTCCTTCTCTGGGTGATTCACACACAAACAGGTTGAACAAAGGAAGAACTTGCCTGCCAGACAGTTCAATTTCAGGAGGACAGAATTTTTACCATCTTGATCACTGCTGTGTCCTGAAACAGAGTAGGGCATATATAGTTTGCAACCATATGTTGAATGAAGAATGAATCTGCCTTCCTCTCCTTTCTATTTTAATTGATTTTCCAAGCAGTGACTCACTCTGATCTCATTCACCTTCTTTTTGTACTAAGTCTCTATGATGGTGACTTCTTGACTCTCACCACATACTTCCTGGAACTCACTGATCTATTACTTCATGTTCCTAGTCTTTCTGAATGTGTCTTCTCTTGCTACCACAGCCTCTCCTCTTCTCCATCCTCTTTGTCTTCCTTCACTTCCTCTCCCCCACTGCCAATAGCAAAATACATAAATTATGGGGATTTAATATACAGCATGGTGACTAGTTAATATACTCTATCGCATATTATGAAGTTACTAAAGGTAAATGTTATCACAAAACTAGCCCTAATTTTCTATGTGATAGATGTTAGGAGACTTACTGTGATGATCACTTAGCATTACAGAACAACTCCTGACTTATCATGCTTTGAATTAACAAGGTGGAAGTGCTACACATTCACTGGATACCATGCAATGATACTCAGAGCTTGGCTAGCTAAAACATCATGCTGCAGCTCCTGGTGAACATTTGGATTTAACAGTTTCTCCAGCTTACAATGGATTTACCAGGATGTCACTTTACCATAAGTCAAGGATGATAATATACAAATACTGAGTCATTATGTTGTACACCTGAAATTTGTAAGATGTTTTGTGCCAATTATATCTGAATCTAAAGCCGCCCGCATGAGTTTGATCCCCGCCTGCCCCGGAGGTGACGACATGGCGTGGCAGACCTCTCCTGAGGCGCCCGCTGCTCCCCTCAGCAGTGTATTTCATCGATCTGCCTGTCCTGCTCCCCACTCTGTCTCTGGCGAAGCCTCTCGACGCCTCTGGCCTGTACCTCAGTTCTGTATGCACAACTAAATAAAAATAAATCTTTAAAAAAAATACCATGATTCTCACAATATATGAAATTTTTATGCCGTAAGGGTCAAATCATAGAATATGCCCTGCCGTTTGAATGTGATATGTAATATTCTTACATTCTACAAAAGGTCATGGAATTCTGTACAGTAATTTGAGCACCACCTAGTGGGCATTATGTATGACTACTTTCCTGACGGAAAAAGGAAAGGCATTTCTTGAGATCTAGAGAGATGTGAGCCTGGAAATGCTCCTCCTTCATACTACTGGACTGATGTGACAAATGTACATAATTCATACAACTTTCCATCCACCACCCCAACACTTTAATAATGTTTTCTGGACTCTTCTAAATCCATCACACTTAAACTGCAAAGCCAGAACCCAGAGTTGTTATGCTTTTAAAACCGAAACATTATTAAGTAGACTAAATGATTGTTTCTGCTCCCCTTGTTAGGCCCCTAGGGGCCTAACACCCTGTGATCAGGAAGGAAATAGGAAGCATCAATGAAAAGAAAGGGAAGTCAGTTAAAAGTATCAGGGAGGAGAATGGCAGGAGGATCATCATCTTGGAGGGCAATTGTCTGGAGAGAATCAACACTCTGACCGGCCCCACCAATGCCATCTTTAAGACCTTCACTGTGATTATCGACAAGCTGGAAAAAGATATCAACAGCTCCATGATCAACAGCACAGCGGCCAGCAGGCTCCCAGTCACCCTGAGGCTGGGCCACTCAGTGCGACTCAGCTAGTTGATTGGGAAAGGTGGGTGTAAGATCACAGAGATCCGTGAGAGTACCGAGGCCCAGGTCCAGGTGGCCGGGGATATGCTGCCCAACTCCACCTACCCGGCCATTACCATTGCTGGCATGCCGCAGTCTGTCACCGAGTGTGTTAAGCAGATCTGCCTGGTCATGCTGGAGATGCTCTCCCAGTCTCGGCAAGGAACAGTCATGACCATTCCGTACCAGCCCAAGCCGGCTAGCTCTCCGTTGGTCTGCGCGGGCTGCCAAGATGGCTGCAGCGATTCAGCGGGCTACCCCGACGCGACCCATGATCTGGAGGGACCAGCACTAGATGCCTACTCGATTCAAGGACAACACACCATTCCTCAGCTTGATCTAGCCAAGCTGAACCAGGTGGCAAGACAACAGTCTCACTTTGCCATGATGCACAGCGGGACCGGATTCGCCGGAATTGACTCCAGCTCTCCAGAGGTGAAAGGCTATTGGGCAAGTTTGGATGCATCTACTCAAACCATCCATGAACTCACCATTCCAAATACTTAATTGGCTGCATAATCGGGTGCTAAGGCGCCAACATTAATGAGATCCACCAGATGTCTGGGGCCCAGATCAAAATTGTCTATCCAGTCAAGGCTCTTCTGGTAGGCAGGTAACTATCACTGGTTCTGCTGCCAGTATTAGTCTGGCCCAGTATCTAATCAATACCAGGCTTTCCTCTGAGAAGGGCATGGGTTACAGCTAGAGTGGTGTAGGTTCACTCTTAACCCCTTTCTACTGTTTTCCCATGATCCAACTGTGTAATTTCTGGTCAGTGATTCCGATTTTTAAATAATTTGTTAAGTGTTCGGTTTCTACACGATTTTTATCATCTGCTGAGAATTAAAAAAATCACATTCTCTGTTCAGCTGTTAATGCTGGGATCCATATTTAGTTTTATAAGCTTTTTTCAGTTTTTAGTTTTGTTTTGGTTTTTTTGGCTCATGAAATTTATTTCTGTTTGTCGATAAGAAATGTAAGAGCAGAATGTTAATAAATTTCAGTTTAGTTCTGTAATGTCAAGAATTTAAAAATTAAAAAATGGATTGGTTTAAAAAAGGCTATTGGGTCTTCAGTTTGTGTGTCTTTCAGGTTTTTCTGAAACATGGTTAAATATAATCTGTCTTCATTTTCTATATCTGGACTGCATTTTTATTTCCATTTCTAGTCCTCATTAATGTACAATCTTCTCTTGCTTGGTTATTTTTAATCCTCTCTGGTTCCCTAAGCTATTATTAATGCAAACAGCATATTCATCCCTAATTAAAAAGAATCACTAAAAACAAATGCTTTAAGCAACTGACAAATCATTTTTAATATCAAATCAAAATAATTCAAAAACAGTGTCCATGAAAATAAACATGAACTTAAAAGTTTTAACTTAAGAAGTAAACAATTCTTAAGTTAAAGCAAGAGAGTATTAAGAATTTATTTCGCACATGGAGATGATTTCACAGCATTCATGGCAGAAATCTTACAAGTCACATAGTCCTTTACCTTGGCCCAAGAGACCTTTCTACAGTTTCCCAGTAATCAACTGGCTTCTTCTTGAATGCTTGCTGGGAGAGAGAATGAATTGAGTCTGAAATGAAGACAAGAGAATGGACTTCAATGTTAAACAAACGCAGGTCTTAATCTTGCAGAACTTGTGTCTTAAACTGCACACTTGCAGTTACTAGCTTTGTGACAGTAAGTGAATAACAAAACCTGTGAAATGTTCATTTTCACATCCACAGCACAGTATGATTGGGGGGGAGGGGGTGTGTGAGAGAAAATGTAAAGATTCCCCAATGCACATAATAATATCGGAAGTAAATGAGATCATCTACTGCCTTTCATGAGCAGTTTGCTTCACTTTGAGACAGCTCTAATGGAAATTGGTTTTTGCCTCAGTTTCTGCCTTTTGCCTTCATTTTCTACCTGGATTTTCCTTTCTAACTATACAAAACCTCCAACTCACACACACTGGCCTAACTGCTTAATTCAAAATTTCCTTTCTGCATTCCTCTCATTCATGTGCTGATAGGCTCAGAAAGTGATAAAAGACTTGTATAGTGCTGGGTTAATTAAGATGAAAGTGCTCAAAGTCAACAGGGTTTGCAGTCTTTCAAGGGAACCTGGTGTAATCAAGCCAATTTACTAACTATAGTAACCTGCTAACCTTATATTCTTTAATAGCATTCCTCTCCTGCCAGTCTTACCTTCCCACTCCTTGATCCTAACTGCTGGGATCACCACCCAAATACACTCAACACTCAAATTTTTATCACATTCATAGTAAAGAATGAATATCCCCCCCCCAATCCAGCAAAATTATAATAAAATTAAGATCCTGGGCCCTCGCTCGTGGCACAATGAATTAAAGCACAGCATTGTGAAGGAATCCACAGGCACTGCAGCGTGAGTTCGATTCTCAGCCAGGGAGGCAATCCACCTGGCATGGCAGACCTGTCTGGTCCTCTCGCTGCTCTCCTCAGCAGCGTGTTTCAGTACACCTGCCTATTCTGCCCCCCACTCTGTCTCTGGTGAATCCTCCTGGCCTGTATCCCAGTTCTGTATGCATAAATAGATAAATCTTTTTTAAAAAGATTTACTAACATTTACTACATAGAAGATACTGTATCAAGAACTTTGCACCATTCCACTAATCAGTGCAACAAACTTATGTCATTTTAGAAGAAGTATTATTCCCACAGTTCCAAAGCTTTGATTAATCAAAGATAATTTTGAACTGACAAATGGGTAGAACACTGACAAGATAAACATTTTTTTTACTCAATAAAATGTTAGTCTAATAAGGTCTACTTATATACCAAAGTGAAGGAGACAATATGGGCAGATAACTAAGAATAATAAATTACCCCTTTCGTCAGAAATTAATGAAGACTATTGAACAGAATGACCACTTCTTTCAAATGAAGTTCATAGTTAAACATGTAACATGTTCAACATGGTCATTCTGTTCAATCCTTAAGCAACTGCAGCTGAAAAATTGTCAAGGTAATTATTTGATGAAGTAGAAGTGAAAATTCTGACTTTTTTTTTAAAGATTTATTTATTTATTCATACAGAACTGGGGTACAGGCCAGAGATGCGGAGGGTGAGAGGATTCACCAGAGACAGAGTGGGGAGCAGAACAGGCAGATCGACGAAGTACACCGCTGAGGGGAGCAGCGGGCGAGCCAGGAGAGGTCTGCCACGCCATGTGGTCACCTCCGGGGCAGGCGGGAATCGAACTCATGCGGAAGCGGCTTTAGATTCTCAGTGCTGTGCTTTAACCCGCTGCGCCACCAAGGAGGGCCGAAAATTCTGACTTTTATAGAGCTGACACTATTGACAATTTCATAAAATAATTTTTTTGTTCTTAACAACCAGGCCTTTGGGGCATGTTTTGTAGAAACAAGGATGGAATTTTTCACCAAAAGTCTAAATACAGAAAACTAATCCTGAGCATATGGTCGAGTTTTCATACTGAGATGCTTAAACACTTATCTGCCCACATGAAACTTCTGCTGTCTTCCATGAAGGCTTGGTTCCTTGGTTTGTTTATATTGACTAATAGTACAGCTACTTGATATTTAAAGTAAAATATAATCCTGCTATATTCTACTCCAAACCAAATAAATTTTAGATTTCCCTTTTGTTTCTGGGTATCTCATTTGTTCCAGCTTCTCATAATAATAATCCTGAAAATTAATTAGGTTTTTTTCTCATTCTCCTTTCTTATAAATAAAAACTCAAATTATCTGACTTCATTCTACTTTTTTAAGATTTAGGCAAGCAGCCCACTTCCAACAGTGCATGATATACTGGCAGGAGAAAGTTAATTGGAGGGGAAAAAAAAAGTACATTTGTATTTAGAAAATGATTCAGTGTCTAGGAAGCAACTGCATTCAACATACAAAATTTGCTCCAAATGAGCAAATTGAATATGTTCAAGAAGCTGTATAATAAATATATCTGGAGTTGTCAAGCAGGAAATTCTGTATAAAGAACGCTATTTAATTGTAATGACATCAATTTCTTGATCATCTCTAGGATAAACTGAATTTTTTTAAAACTAAAATACATCTATCAAACCACAAAATGCATTGCTTTTCCCTATGATTTTCAAAGCTGCATGCCTAAACGTGTTCCAGGAAGTGATTGAGCAGCTACAAAAGAATGAATATCCCCCCCCCAATCCAGCAAAATTATAATAAAATTAAGATCCTGGGCCCTCGCTCGTGGCACAATGAATTAAAGCACAGCATT